TTATATTATTGAGATCTTTCTTAGTGCATCTGAGTAAATCTACTTTAATTATCATCACTACTGTGAATATTGATTCACCAATATTTTCAGGTTGTTTTTCCACAGATTTGAAATCCATCCTTAATCAAAGGAATCAAATGGATATCAGTTAGCTAATTTGCTGTTAAATAGTATCTGATTCTTTCTGCAATAAGATGTTGTTTTATTTTTTTTACTTCCTTCTGTTTTATAACAAGTCAATGATGTGACAGTACCAGTTTTTGTAGACACTTTGGCCACATTTAGAACAGCAGACTAACTAGTCTGAGGGTCAAATATGGCCAACCTTCTGGAATACTTCCCCACGGGGAATCTATTTAGTGTATATTAGCAGATTAGACAGCAAGCTTTTTACTCGGTCGCAATATTTGGCCCACGGACTAGTTAGTCCACTGTTCTAAATGCAGCCTTTGGTACAAGATAGCCAGGAAGATATTTCACTTTTGTCATTTTCAAATGTCTGTTTTTTTTTGTTTTTTTCTACAGCACTTAAAAAGTTTCCTGTGTCATCACATATCAAGTGTAAAAAAAGTAGAGATTCAGCCAATTCTTGTTTAAAAAGTTTTTTAAAAAATATTGACTAAGTTTCATGAGTCAAGCTAGTGATAGGTGAGTGTGTTTTCACTTCTGTCATGTTTCTTATTTATCAACTGTGCTCTTGGCGAAATTTGGGAGGTAATACTTTTAATATAAGTTTCTGTCTTCAAACATGACGTATTTGCCATGCAAGCCCTACCATATTTTTTAAAACAATTTGTTGATATTGATGTAGAATTCACAACTGAATATTTATAGTGTTATTACCTCTTTGATGAAGTATTTCTCAGCATCTTGTTTTGTACTTAGGTATTGCAGTGCTAAAAGAGATGAATCTTGCCATCATATTTCATCTGGTCGTAATATTTTATCTGCATGGCCATAATATTTTATCTGGGGATTTCATTTCTGCATGCTGTACGCCTGAGAATGGTCGACTGATTCCAAGTAATTGACTGATGATTGTGTGATTATTCAAACACTTAATTTGTATCAGGAAGAGATTTAGCATCGCTATCATGTCAGATGATGAAGTACACGCAGCTATGGTAAAGTTAGGCCTAAAGTAGGCTTGTACATTATGTCAGCTAATGGCCTTTACTAGCGATTTGCCTTTATAGACTACCATAACATGCTGGCAAGGTAGCACTTCACTCCAGGTAACCCATTTCTACCAATTTACTTCATGGCCTATTTACACCCGCTAACATTGTTACTACACAAGGCTATGTTTTTTTATCACAGATATCTTCCCAGGCAAGCTTCATTGACGGTTTTAAATAGGGAATCAACAAAGTTGGATGTACAAGATGAAAAACAACTCCAAATCAACTGTGCCCCTACCAGCATATTATTGTATTTGTGTACTGCAAGCTCTCTACGTTGAATGCGGCAAAGCAGTGATGATTTGCACCTCAGGAGAAATTTGTTTAGAGGTGAAAGGCCCACTGCCAATACTTGCTTTTTACTTCAACTGTCTTCTGATGTGTGTGTCAGGTGCATGCATTGTTTTAAAGTCTTACACCCCATTTCCATAGTTTAGATCGACCTACTTTAGATCGACCTAACTCCCTGGGGGTTCACGCTAAATAGCTGTCAGCCAGGCGGACACGAAAGTTAATTACCCTCTTACAGCTTGTAGTAGGTGGGACGGACATTTAAGTCGGATTATCTGAAAGTAATCTAGTGAGACTCCCCGCGGGGATAGATCGATCTAAAATCTATGGGAATAGAGCCTTAGATGTTGTATTAACAGACTTCATGTGTGGTTTTTCGCCAGTGAGAAGATATTTATGTCCTGAGCCTGTCCTTTATCCCATCATTTCAGTTAGTAATCTTTTCCCATGGTGGAACAGTATAACAGTCTACTTTCAGCTGACATTACTCTCTCACTCAGTCTCTCACTTTCTTGTGAATAATTTTCTGTGAGAAATTGGAGGCTTCCAAACCATGTATACAGTAAATATGCATGGGGTCTGGTGCCTAGTTAGTGAACCAAATCTACACACAGTTAACTGCTTCAGCTGATACTTAATATAAGAACATGAGAAAATTATCCCATGCCTTGAATACCACTACTGATTGCTTCTTTTCATTTTTACCTATTATTTTAATATACAAAAAATTCACAGTAATTCTTCGCCATTTAATTACTTTCTGACAGCGTAGATGATGATAAAAAAATGTTATAATTACCTCGGAGAGTGTGTGTCGGTATCACGGTGTATCAGGTAATATTACACTGTGCCTCCTGGTCTTCCTCTCAGGTATACTGTACTCTGAAGAGTCAGATTCAGCTTATATGTCGTCTGCTGATATTTTCACTCAGTTTCAAATAAAAATAAGTCCTCCTTCTATGTAGATATTGTCCAATGATACGCAAATAGGGTGTGTCTACTGACGTACTGACGTAAACGAGGTAAAAGCTAATAAGAAAAATAAATCACTTTCTCCGCATCACCTCGTCAGGCCATGGCGGCTGTATGACATTTACAGGTAGGGGTGTTAGTGGTGGTACGGTGTTGAGTTTAGAACAATAATTCCCCGCAGATATTCACTGACATCTGACCTGGGAAATGCAAAATTCCCTCAATAATTGTGGTTGGTTATTTGGGGGGGATTAAATTTTTCTATGATATTCCCTAATTATTAATTTAAAGGTTAAGAATTGAGTGATGACTTGAAGTGTAATCCCAATGTGATTCTGTTTGAGTAAACACTTTAAAAGTGGCTCATTTTCAAGATAATTGTAGCTAGGATTTATAAGTAGTAGTAGTACAAACGGTTGTTGCACATTATTATTTTCTCATAAATAACTGATTTCTGCTTCAATGTTTGCCACGGTAGTGACTATATTTTACATATTCAGTTTGTAATCTCTTTTACAGCTTTCTTTTGTATCACATTTTCTGCTTTGAATATCACAGCATTAAGCTTGTATTAGTCTGCCCGTTGTCTTGGTTTCAAGGCAGATGATGCCTTTAAAGAAAAATACTATTACAAGAAATGGAAGTTATGAAAAAATGGCATATAGTTAGAACAAAAGCTTTATAATCACAATGAAAAGGAAATAATGGAATTACCTTTGATCTGCCAAATTGTGTGATTTCAGTGCGCGGTTGCCATGTCTTTTTCCTGTTAAGCACAGATAGCTGGAAAGACAATCTTTTTTTACAAGGTTTGATAGGAAGATTCAGAAGTACACCAGTTTGCAGCGTCAGTACACTCGGCCAGATGTGTATATGCTAGATATTATGATGGATCAAATCCTCAGCAATGTGAAATATTAGATAATTGGAAAGTTGTGTGCAGGGGTTATGTAGTAGTCACCTTTGGCATGCCTCCATTTTTTTTTTTTTTTTTTTTTTTTTTTTTTTTTTTTTTTTTTTTTACAGCCATGAAATCCCTGCCAGGGGTTTTGGAAATGTCACAGGAGCAAGGTTTTACCTATGGCTAATTAAGTTTTTTCTTTCTGTTGCAAATAATTGGCTTGCTTTAAAAACTGTATTTCTGATTGGCAAATGCAATATCTGGTATATGTTGACATTTATACACTGCTTCCTCTTCTTGCCTGCTACAATTGTAAAAGAAACCTTTGTTAGACTGGCCGGGTCAGGCAATGGTTGGTAAAGATGAGTATTTTTTTATTGTTTTTATGAATTTATGGCAGAACTCTTTATGGTTCTGGGTGAATAGTTTATTCAGACTGGTGGTGATGATGATGTTGCTATCATTTAATTATTAAATGACCTGTAAAAATTTGTGATCTTAGGAATTAAGTAAAGAGATACCTCAGTTGAAAATTACATTGCCTTTTACTCAGACTATAGTTGAACTCTGTTATACTTACAATTGCACTGTATGATGATATTTCTCAATTTCCTAATTGAAGCAAGGACGGGAATTTGCTGCTTTTTCATGGTAACAATTAATATTTTTTAGAGTCTGGTAATTCATTGAAATTAACTACTTTTCTGTCATGTTTTTTTAAATGTATTTCTTGGAAAGCATGATTTTGTGATATTTTTAAAATGGCCACAGAAGCCACCAAGAATGGTTAGTATGTGGTTTATGGCTTCAGAGCAATTCTACTGTGTTCTACTCAAATGTATATTTTTCCAACTTAGCACCTCAAGTTGTTTAAAAGCATTTTGTCACGTCATATTCTTCATAAAATAGGAAAAAAATTTGCCATAGAAGTGTGAATAATTTAAAATGCAAGTAAAATATGGCGCAAAGGAAAAAACAATGAAGTCATGACCTTTTAATGTGTTTTGTTGTGTTTCTTTGCAAACATTTTATGCTATTTCCCCCCTTTCTTTGTCAATAAATGCTGTTATTGTAGGGCTAAAGTTGTAAGCTACAAGTAGCGTTGCAATGAGGTTAAATTTCCCGGAAATTTGGTCTCAGCTTGTTAACTTATTAAGGCAAGACAATCTACCAATAAGCTAGGTGCCAATAAAATGGTGATAAATCCTCAATTTTATACACTTTGTGTCAGAATAACTGATGGACTGTAAATAGATCCTAGGATTGGATAAATACCTATGAGGCTTTTGTTGGATGTCTACCTTATCCAAGTTAGAAATAATCGGATGTTGTTTAGTTTTGGATGGATATTTGAGGATTTTCCCATTATGACAATCCATTGAGCTCGCTTACTCTTCTTATTTTCTTGACAATGCATATTGTCATTGGCCACATGTGCTTTCAAACCAAAGTCTTCAGACATACACGTACATGTCCTTATTTGACACGGTCATACCTTGGATGTTGTTTGAGAAATATTACTCATCATCTACCGTGCTTCAGGAACATTTCTTTGTAAGAGCCATTTCAAACTAGTTATTTGTTATCTATGTTAAATTTTTTTTTTAAATGTCACTTTTTGTGGAATAAAATTATGTTCATTTGAATTCTTCCAGAATGAGCTGTTTGTTTTGGTAACGGACCAGGGTTTCCTGACAGAGAGCAATGTGGTGTGGGAGACGCTGTCCAACGTTGAGGGTGACTGCCATTTTGTCAACTGTAACTTTGTCACCTACAGGAAGGCGGAGATGACCCAAGGAGCTGGACAGGGGCCAGCCAAGGCATCCCCAGAAAACCCAGAAAGCCAGGTGGACCATGAGTAAGTTTGGAACTCCTGTCGGTTCTCTTCCTGATTATTCCCCCCTGACGTCATTTAGTAAACCCTGCCATGCATCTTTGTCATCAGCAGATTTGAATTCCTGAGCTGTGTAAAGCTCTGTGACTCATTAACCATAAGATAATTTGTACAGTGATATCTCGCTCAGATCTTGGGATCTGATGATTTCTACAAAAATTGATGAACTATATTACAGATAACAGTTAACACATTCTAGTGGTAATTGGCTGAACTTTCTCTGTTGTACAGACTTGCCCTATATACATGTACATATAAGGCAGACAATGTGTTTTGTTTCTCCAAATAGTAGTAAGTGAGGGAGACTTTGATTTACCGTTTGATTTATCAGTTAAAAGCAGAGTGCATTTGTTCAGATCAACTGGTGACTCTGTTTCATGATGATGAACAACATGTAAATTGGCTGTGAATGTGTTGCCAGGTCTGGTGTTGTAAAGTCAATTTAATTACCATGGCAGAAAGTTAGAGAGAGGGATTACATTAGAATGACATTCAAAAGCAATCGCTAGAGTACAGTTATTGATCAGAAATATTATTTATCTGATGTCCGCATTTAAGGTTAACTCCGTAGAGACAAGAGAGGAAAGATAAGTGCTCTCTTACATTTAAATACATTTGACCATTAACTGTGTGGAGGTAACTCTGAATGAAATTTTGGTGGTACTTAAACCCTGAATAAATGATATTTTATGATCAGTCAGTAAGACACATAGTGCTGTAGAAAGTGAATAACTGGAAAATGTGTTTTCTGATTTTTGGTCCTCAATTTATAGCATGGGGAATGAACAAGTTTGTTTGCACATCCCCTATCCCCCCCCCCCCCACCCCACCCCCACCCCCCCCACCCCCAAGCAAGGGCATGGCACAGGTGTTATATGTGACTGAAGTAGACTGTGCTGTGTATTTCAGTTACCTGGTGGCATTATCTCTACAGCAAGACCAGGCAGACCAGCTTCCAGCCTCAACATGGTCGCCAGGACAGGAATCTACAGAGCAGACCGAGTGAGGCTTCTATTAGCTTTCTTTTTATGATGCTTTATTTGTTTTTAGAATCTTACATGATTCAAGAATTGTGCTGACCAGTCAAAAGGTCAATTTAAGACTTATTGTGTATTTTTATTTATTTATTTATTTATTTATTTATTTATTTATTTATTTATTTATTTATTTAGCAGTTGGTGAATTGACCATAATTTGACATTAATTTCTATTTGATTTCCTCTAAATATCTCAATCGCATTAAGGTGAAGCAAAGAGACATTTGTTGCAAATTGTTGATGAACCCTAACTGTTTACAACATGATGCCTCAATCTTTTTTTAATCTCAGTGGACTAGGATCTGCATTACTTGACAAAGGTCAATCACATATTGTCAGTTTTAAGAGATGGATAACTTAGTAATCTGAGAGGATCCTGCCCATTGAGTTTGAGCAAAAATTGATTTTGTAGAATCTTCCAGATTTTGGTGCTAGTTTTTGCATTTTTATGAAAGAAATTGAGCCCATCCCCAACCAATATTTACATCTCCCAGTGAATATATCGATATTTCTGTTACAGTTTCTGTTAACACATCTGGGTGCTGGTATTTGATTTAACATTTCAGTCTTCTAAATGTGGACTTAATTTGAAAAAAGTCTGTCCGTTAATGTTGTAGCCTTCAACTGGCAATGCAGCTGCAAGAGGAAGAAAACCGGCGTGCAGACTCATCCCAACAGAGGCGAGATGCCCGAAGACAGCAGCAGATGCAACAAAACCAGCTCCATCTACAACGCCAGTTTGAGGCTGCTAACCGGGAAAGGCATGATACGGAACATAAGAAGAAAGATGATAAAGTAAGAATTTTTGGTCATTTGCTATGCAAAGCCGACATATTCTTAGTTGGCTTGCCATCTTTTTTAATGACTTTTTCTTACATTTTTATAATAGGTGTTTTGTACACATAGAAAAATTCCACAACACTCTAGAAATGATATCTTTTAGTTAGGAACAATTCAACCTAGAAACAAAATGAAAATGTTTAGCCTTTTGCTCTTTGATTAAAATTCCTTGTGTAATTTTTTCCTTTTTTTATTCCAGTGTATATTGTTGTAAGCATATGGTAACCAGCTGTTACGTGATATGGAGAAGACCAAAAATGAGGCAATAAAATATAAAAAAAGAAAGAAAATGGTTAGCTTACTCAGAGATATTTCTTAACAAATATTGAAAGCATGAAGACACTGGTGTGCTACTTATTAAAAAAAAGAGTTGTTGTCCTTAGACAAGAGTACAATGGTTGTTCTCACCTACAGCAATGTGAAGTGTTGCCAGTCACAGATAGATGGCACTGTTGTTCTGGTAATAGACTTAGGACAAGCGCAGGATGTTTAGATACTTGGTCACCCACACCAAGTATTTGGCATGTTGAATTTATATGAAGTGCTAAAAAACATCATTTTAGAAGATTGATTGTTACATCAACATGGTTTTCTTCATTTCATGTTTGATATTATTTATTATTGCTGAACATTAAAATTAATTTAAGAATTGGGAGATTTTTGCAATCTCGTAAATATAAAAATTTAAGTTAGAAGACCCCTGTTTGAATGCCCATTTTCATGCACCCATTATAAAGATACACTGTTTCATTGTGTAGAAATCAGATCTGATGGTCAGCACCAGGAAATTATATACTGTTATTGTGGCTACTTCTCATCCGATCACCACAGTTTAAAAGTAGAACATCTCTACAATTAAACATTTTAAATAGATTTTTTTTCAATAATTTGACTATCTAGAGCGTTTCATTTGTGATGGGTCCTTTACTCCCTGTCAGCACAGATGCCACACCTTCACAGGAAATTTCCCTGAAAAATGCACAAATGATGCAACTTGTAGCAAACCAAATGATTTCTGTGCCACTTGTAACCTTCCTTGCCGAAAATACCAGTACAAGTATATACTTGGTTGTTATCTGTCACAGATATTGCAGTTTGTATCTTTCAAACAGTCACAGAGGCATGGCTGCTGTTGACTAGAAAATAGACATTTTTGCCACAGAAAGGTGACATTTGTTCAAACAAATCAAATGTTTTCTGTTATAAGTAGAATTTGCATTGAAAATGTGTTAGTTATGAAGAATGAAAAAACTATGAAAATATGATACAAACACATGATTTGACTTTTTTCTTTTTAAAATTAGAAGCTTGTTCCTTGACTGCTTACCTTGGACAATGTTGCTTTAATGCATTTATCTGAACACAAGTGATCTTTGTCAGTGATTTTGAAAGATAGTTAAAGCTGAATATTTTAGAGATGATAAATTATTGTTTAGTTATTAAGATTATATGGTTGCAACTTTGAGTGTAAATTTGTGTTCATATTTAATATGCTTATCATTTCAACATTTAATAGGTGAATATTTCTGACAAATTGTGTATTATTGGCTCAATTTCCACGGGAAGATTCCATTTACCCATTTTATATAGTAGTAAAAATCTTTGGTCAGTGGAGGTATGAAATGTTAGAGTCCACAGACATTCTTCCTTGAAATGTAGAAAAGAATTTATATAATTTTCTGTAGTAATATTTAGTCTTCAATAATTACATTTCATGAGTATGTATTTATGGGAAAAAAATGACTTCTGTTTCCCCGTCTTCACCCATTCCATGTTGCTGTGTTTTTATTGGAGTGTCTGGAGAGCGTTGTTCTGAAACTGATAATCTGCTTAAAATACTGCAAGTAAGATATTTATTGAGGTTAACATGTCATATGAAAATATGCCGGAGTACATTTTTAATGTAATCAGGGGCTCTCTTTCACAGAAAAAAACTAAGCTAACCAAGTATCTTAAGGGCCTTGATCATGTTTGCATTTAACAATCATTATTACTGTTCAGATTTATTTTAGTGTCTTTGAATCTCAGATTAATTGTAGTGGTATCAGTGGAGTTATGGGGTGTTGCAATATAGAAATATTTGCCATTGGCATAAAAAAAACAACTAGAAAGACTCGTGACTTAAACTTATTAATTGCATCACAAATATTGAGTATTTTATTTTACTTAGCCACTGTTGTGCAAATGAAATGTACAAGCAATGAACAGAAATGTGCATCATGAGTTGTTTCATCTAGAAAAGGGGTTCCAAAACCTTAAGATGCGTCTTGAACAATACATACATCAGATGTATACTACAAAAAGTGCAATTCTTTAGCTTTAATCCTCTTTAGGTGACAGAAAGGTGTGGTCCATCTTGAAAATGCACCAGTGAACATGGGGGTGGTCTGGCCACAGTAAGTGTAGAAGTACAACAGTTTTAGCTTTCAGTTTGCTATGAAACCGTCACACCAATACCTAGGGTTCTGATATCATTATTTGCAGTATGTACAGGGGGTATATGCTGTTGTCGTTGTACAACATAATGGTTTTTCTGCCTTGAATTATTTGCCTTTCTGATACTTCTGGCTGATAATTTTGTGTACTGGTAGCAATATTGCCCAGCTTGTCTGTATTTTCAGTAGACAGAAATATGTAAATAATTGTCATTCATCCTTTATTTTCCAAATACCTTGATAGATGGATGTTAAAATTGTTTTATCTTTGACACACCAATATATTTTAATGCTTTAGAAATGTATTGATATCCTCCCAAGTGGTCCAACCCTGTAACTTCATCAAAGTCCAGAGAATTATCTAATAAACTCAACTTGTTAAAAAGAGATAGTTGCGTCATTTTTCTCTTACTCTTTACACTGAAAAAATGACCTGTTATACTTAATCTGTTCAAATTGACGATGCATGCTTTTGATTTTATTTTTGAACCAATGTAAGTGTTGAACAAAAAAGTTAAGAAGCAGTTATGATCCACCAACAGCCACATGTTAATAAATTAGGACGTGTTCTACTTGTGTATACAAACCAGTGCACAGTAGCATGTGTACTGTTCAGTGTAAGAATTTCAGCAGGTGTTTGTATTACACCCCATTTCCATAGATTTTTAGATCGATCTATCCCTGTGGGGATAGATCGATCTAACCCTGTGGGGAGTCTCACTAGATTACTGTCAGCTTGGCTGGCTAAAGCGTCTGTCCCGCCTACTAAAAGCTGTAAGGGGGTAATTAACTATGGTGCCCGCTCGGCTGACTGCAATTTAGCGTGAACCCCCAGGGAGTTAGGTCGATCTAAAACTTACTTTTTAGATCGATCTAAATCTCTGGGAAAGCACCCTTAGTGTAATTTTGTGTAATTATGAGAATGTTTAGGGAATGAATGGTCTTTGCCTCAGTTACATGTATTTTCAATAAAATGCATGTTTAAAATAAATTTTAATTATTATTACATATATACATTTATCTGGGTGCCCAATTTTGAAGATGCAAGATTAGCAAAATATCAGGCCTGCTGCAAATTGGCAGCAAATTTACTGCAATTTTGCTGCAAAATGCAATTCCTTCTTGCAAATTTGCAACACATCTGCTACAATATACTGCAATATTAGCAGCAATAAAATTTTTGTTGGAAACTCGTTGCTGCAAACTTTTCATTTTGCTAAGGGGGACTACATGGAGGGGCCCATTGGGTATTTTTGTTACCTGTGAAAGTCACTTTTTATTTCCAGAGATGCATGAAACGTTCATATTATATAGCGTGAATAACACCAATGACTCTCATGACTCCTAAATCAGGGGTGGATCCAAGATTATTTGAAGGGGTGGGGGGGGGGTCCACAGCAAAGCGGACCCCCCTCTAAATCCGCCTCTGTGAAGCAGAATCTATCCTGGAGGGCTCTCTGTCACATTGCACTGCACAAAATTATCCTGGCAAATCGTCTTAGTGTATAATTGACTATGAGGGTAATTACAAAGGGATATAATAACAAACAGCTTTAAGCCACCACACTAGTTTTTATTTTGAAATAATCAGTGAATTGTTGCATTCAACAAAACATTCTCAAAACTACTGATGATTCATCTTTATATTTTTTTGCCATGATGTCTTCTTAAAAACTGGAACTGAAAAGGAAAAAAAATACTGAAACCAGTTTTTTTACTTTTGGGAGTTCAGTCTAATACTATATATTTTACCTAATCTACTGCATATGTAAATATTTCATCAGATATCTATCTATATATTGATACATATGCCAAATACAGCTGTCACATATTCAGCACTTACCACTTATGGCAAATATTGTGGGTAGCTGTTTACTCCAGCGTGGGGTCGTACTTTTTCAAAATCTTAAATTGAAACAATATTGTAGAACCAGATTATTAATCAAATTTTCTGAAATACTGTTCATTACAAATATAAGCCCATTTATTTATAAGCTTGTAATATCACTGAAGACTTTCAGTTGCTATGAACTATAACGGTTTCAAACTGTGACTCTGACCTAATGGCAGCCAAGTCAAACACGTTTGCTGTCAGAAAAAAAATGAATGGTGGTTGTTTAGATAAAATTATCCCAAAATTAATTTTTTGTTTAAGTTGGGTATTTAATCCTTTATAGATACATTTAAGAGGTAAAAAAAATTTTTTACTACAAGAGGTACATATATCCAACTGGACTGATTCAAACAGCTAAAAAGAGCGATTGTTTTTATAGTATTAATGGTATTCAAAACCAACTATACCTTTTCACAAAATTCAATACATTCATCCTTGTCTGTTTGCCCATTTCCTGAATAAGATAAACAACTGTCATTTCATGCATTGTGCCATATTGTATACAAATACATTTACTTCCAGTTGATATATATGTTTAATGATGTGTCACTGAGTTCAGGTTAAGGTTGAAAGCTGTGCACCAGGAATGGTGTATTAGAAAGCAAACTTAGTAGGTACACATTGTTGTGCAAAAGATGTCATTACAAACAATGTCATTAATGTCATTACAAACACTTAGGAACATTTTGTTTTTGATGGATGGTTAATATTCTTATTGAACTGTAAACACTGTATTTGTTTTTTAGGCAAAGAGTGCATTCTTCTGCAGTTGTTTGAGAAACGGAACCATGTTAGACATTAGAAATTTAACACTCACCATTGGCATCTAGTTTCCCAAATTTGATAATATCATCTTCTGTCAATACTCCATCTTTATCTAAATCACCTGTTTCAAATATTGCACGAGACCACAGTGGCCGAATTCTGCTATCCAGTTTGACCAGATATCTCAGCATCTCACTCTGTGTGACTTCATCATTGTCTGAAAACCCAAAGAATAATGGGTATTGGCAATAATCTCAATTTCACATTCAATCGATTCATGAAATTATTCTTTCAGATCACACAACAATGGATGAGTTTACATCTTTATCTTATGCAATGCTAAATTTTCTGGTATGGCCACACTTTTTTATTTTTATGGATGACATCCTCTGGGTACCCCAAAATCAGTGCGAGAGGGCGAAAAAAAAAAAAA